TTCATCCTCGTAACAGATACAATCACAATAGAAATTCAGCTTCATATTTGTGCAAAATCCGATAATTAAGGCACGAATTAAAAACGTAAGGGGCATTGCACACAAACGTACGAATATTAAATACTTTAATAAGCGATCGATGCTCGTCGAATTCCGCGAACTTGCCTTTTATCTGTGACAACGTTGACCTATGAAAATTATCGTACAAGAGTACGGTGGAAAAATAACGAAAAGATATGTTTCTGAGATTTATAATTGGATATAATTAAATTCGAGATAATTAAGATATGATTAAATTTGATCTTGAAAATGCCTGGAATTAAAGCATCGAACTATATCGTATAATTAGAAACAGCATCGATGGATAATAATACGGAAATTCCTGGATCTTTTCGTTTACTCTGTTATTCCGATCATCGCGCAGCAACCTCTGAGCTTTCCAAATACTTTCGCCAAACGAATGAAACCGTACAGTATAAAGACCGTTATGTCGCCTCCTTTCAATCAACTCACGAAAAGGACCAAGAGCCCCACAATAGAGTCAAAGTAATATCCCTGGTATTGCTCGGTCGTTTGTAAGACTTCCCTTGAACGGTTCTTTGACACACAAGATACCTAAGATTGGTTTACGCTCACACACAGTTAAGATTCGGTAGTTCTCGTTCGTCTTTCAACGATTCCGATGGAACCGAAACTTGTACGGTTAATTAAAAAGTCGCGTAATTACGCATACGTCGTACATAAATATAGGGGCCACGGAGGCAATTAAAAATTTTCTATAAATTACGTTCGATCGTTCGTGTAAAATAAATCTTATTTGTTTATTATCGTTATCGTTATTGCTTACTGTATCGTTTAACTCGATGTCGTTCGTTAAATCGTCGAGACGGAAATATACAACGACAGACTTTTAAAGACGTAATTAACGAAGAACGGAAAGAGAAGAATTTGCTAATCGTGTTGCTCGATCTAAATTTAAACTGGAATCTTCTGTTTCTAGGACGACTGATATATATCATTGTAACTGTGTCTAGTTGATTCGTGGATTTTCTTCCCTAAATTTCATTTGTGGAACTCGTATCTTTAGAAAAATCAACATTCTACGTTGAACGTTTCGTTCTATTCGCTTTAACTTTTGTTCCGCAATAAATCGTTTGCGCGTAAGCTTAACACTCAGAACCGACACAATTAAAATACGTACAGCGAACTTTTTTCTTTCTTTGCCAACGTACGAGAAAGCGTAAAGTACGATTATAACGTATGTAATTCACGACACGATTATTTACAAATATAAGAACTAATCGGAAATTACTTATACGTAAAAGTTATCTATGCACGTCGTGGCACCTTGAGCGTCACCGTTGATAAGTAGAACGAACAGACACTCGTTACTCGGAAACGAAATTAATAGGTTAAAATACGAAGCGTGTAATTGGTTCTAAACTAATACGGTCGCGTCGACAACGCAGCTGTAATGTATAGTAACGGTTAATAAATAAATAGTAATGATTAACGAATATGTCACTCGTAACGTATTTTTAAGAGTATTTTTAGCGCGCGTTCCAAGGATTATTCGGATATTTTTAAATCGTCCAATCGTTTATCGTACATCATACGCGATTGTTCGCTGAATTTCTTGTGGCTTGATCGAATTATCACCGCCTATGAGCCAATTTGCTGGTAGATTTGCAGTTACGGATGAATACTTTGCTGCACGGCAATTATATGCTAGAATTATTCGTACATCGAAGACTTTATGGTTGAGGCGTGCTGGATTTCGTTGCAGCGATTCCGAATAACCTGACCGCACGAGAACGAAATGCGTTTAACGACGCATTTTTATTTTTATTCCTCGCCGTTACTCCTGCCAATTCATTCCAAACTCGCGATATTTCATTCAGCCAATATATATCATTGTTATTAACTATTTTATATTTCGGAGTAACCGTCATATTTTATTTATAAACGATCGGAGAGCTTTAGCGCGAAAAACCAATTCACAGGCATCAAATTGAAGCGAAACGGGGAAAACGATAATAACTTTTTTTTTTATCGATTATCAATTTCGTTTTAAACGAGAAGAACGTATCGGTAGATAATAATATGTTTTATTGCTTTTGATGTATTTCGGAACTCAAACCGTTCGATATTTTCACGATTATGCGTAATATCGTGATTAACGTTAACTCGCGATTAGTTTTAGCGTGTTATAAATTATCAAATAAAAAGAAAATCCGATATTGCGTATATACGATACTGTAGGAATGTGACAAAGCACCCTATTCTAATTGTCTGTAATTTAATTTTACCGTATTCTACGTAAAGAGACAGAGAAATAGAAAGAGACAGATCGTTAGCTAACCAGGTAGACGGATAGATCAGACTAGCTGTAAAATACGAATAGAAAATTATTATTCGCGGTAAGATCGATAAACCAACGTTTAAACGAAACAAGCTAAATCACGCGTTAAAATAAATCGCGCGTGAACGGGATATTACGATATTTCAGCCGGCACTTTCGCTTTCTTTTCTGATAATCATCGTTGAATCGTCGAGCGAGAATTCAAGGAATATCGCAAAGAGACGGTGGAGAATCGATCACGCACGCGGTCTTTGCTTTAGACGCTAGTAGCTCATATCGGTGTTTCTTGCTTTAAAGTGGTCAAACGAAAGGAAAGGGTTGGTAATTTGAGTAGCTCTGTGGTATCTCCGGGCAACCTTTGGCCTCGTTCGCTGCTCGTATTCCATGGTTCGACGCTTTCGGCGGAGGTCGGGGGATGTACGGATTTTATCGAGGAACTTGCTTGGCCAGATGCCAAATCGTACGTGTAAGTTCGCCGTGAAATCATCCGATCTCACAGTTCGTCTCTTTTCTTTTCGCGTACTTGCGTCGTTCGACGCGTTCGAACAAGTATGATAGGAAAACGGTGACCGATCCGGCACATCGACGTTCGTTATCTACCTCGATGCGACAAAATCGTTAAGAAATCATCGGCTTTCAGAAACGCGACACAAATCGCTTGGAACAGAGCGTTTTACCGCGTATCGGAATTATATGGCCGAAAGATATATCCGAAGATAAATGCCTCGGAAGACTATACAATTTGGCTGAATACAGATATCGCGTGATATCGAGCTTAGAATTGATTTAGGCTGAAACACAGTTTGATCTGGAACCGAATCGGAACTGAGATGGAACTGAGTTTCAATTGGAACAGAATCGAGCTAGAACCAATAGCGAACTGCTATTGGATCGGTGCTGAATCGATATTGCGCCGATACTCATCTGTTTGGGAAAATGTATTGGGATTTAAAGACCTTTTTTCGTTGCACACGAAAAGGATAAGTCAGAAAGATACTCGAAGATCGGATTTTCTCATCGAGCGAGTCAAGTTTCGATCGGGGCACGCGTACGAATTTGATTAAAAACCACTTATAGCAATGTCGAATATTGCTTTGGCCAGACATCGTTTTTACTCGCAAGTACTTTCTTTGTGCGTAATTTGGCTTAAGATATTTGATTTGTTCGAGACGAGCGGTCTTCTTTGACGAGTAGTCCTTTGGCTGGTATAAATCTAGAAATTGTTTGCTAAAAGTTCACCGCAATCGTATTTTTTGGTATGTCGTCCAAACTTATACCGTACCGTTCGTTGTACTAAAAGCACATCAAAACGCATTGTACGTTCGTATTTCCTTACAAAATAACAATATCGTTTCTTTATTTACTCGCGTTAAAAATGTTACAACATTTTACTTTTTATATTATATATGAAGCAGAATCGCACGTACGTGTATTGCATATGTGCCTTACGCGATAGATTTTATAAAGTGCAAAATCCGACAATTACCGAGCGAACGCGCTTTCCGTGTTTTTAAATGTAGGTCAGATATCGAATATCGGAAAAACGCATTCGAATGAAAAATTTGCTCACTCTGTTGTCTATTTCGGTATTTATATTTTGTGGGCGATACCTATTTCCGATGTTAAAGATATTAAAGGAAAGACACTCACCGGTGACCTCGATCGTTTAATTGGCGTCAAGGTAATCGATGGAAAAACGAAACCTTCGAAATTTTCGAACCACGATATTCCTCCTAATTTTCGTTATTTCCTTCTATTTTTATCTCTCCATCGTTTCAGCCGTGTTGTACACGCGACAGATTTTCGCGAATTTTCTATTTTGCTCTTTCGGTTTCCGTGTTTACGCGAAACGAACTCAAGTGGTTCGTTAATATCCGATCGTGCCGAGATCCTAGTTTATATCCATACGAGTGAAAAACTTCCTTCACCGAATTTTCCAAGGGGAAACTTATTAATAGAAAGCAAATGAAACACGTACGGCACATATGCAATTATCTCTTCTAATCGAAGCACAAAGCTCGATTATGTAATCAGAAATCTTTATTGCTGCGTAAGTTCTCGAAATAGAACGGAAATAGAGGAATTATACCGTGGAGACGGAAATATCTGTTACAAAGCACTAGGTTGGAAAATTTGTAATCCGACGAAGCAAATAACAAATAAACTAGAAATTTTATCCCGATGTATACCGATCTATATCGCAATTTTTATTGGAAATGTTCGTAATACATTTCGATATTCGGATATACTTCGATACTTAGGAATCCACGAACCTTTCGATCAACGCGTACCAGTTACACCTTCTTTCTCGTCGTACAACGACGCGCAAAGAGAACGAGCGAGCTTATTTTTGCGGAAGCTGTGCGAGAGCAAGTAACGTATATGTACGGGTCATCGGACTTAAATCGATGGTTAGCGCAAAGCTTAATTCGCGAAGGTAGCAGCGTATGACGCGATATAATAGGAGCCGAACGAGGCTCTGTCTTGGCTTCGAAACTCCACTTTATCGTTAGAATTAGCGTAACGTTTTATGCAAAAGTTTCAAGGTCCGTCTCGTCTCTCGTCCTTTTCATGGTGGCAGCAGCAATTTGCTCGGCGGCTTGTGGTAATTACAGAGGAATAAAATTTAATGGGTTACCTTGGACTCGAATGCGATGACTTCCCGCAATTCCCGCAAAAAAGCTCCAAAGAACGGCACCACTGGACACTCTGGCATTGCCAAGGAGCGAGCAAGCGCGAGCTCATACTCGGGAGACAAAAGGGCGGAGGATAGATTTTCCAAAACTGGTACTGGGTCGTTCACACTTTGCCAAAAGGGCTTTAGCTTGTGGCACCTGTAAGAAAGCGTTTCGTGTTCCATTATAAAACTGAAATCAGATACGTACAATCCGTTTATAAATATATAGATACGGAAGCAGACAAAAAGAGAGGAAAAGCCTGCATACCCTGTATAACAGTCGATCGCTGATATCGCCTTTCGAGAGTTTTCATCGAGTATCGCGCGAGTTTCGCGACGTAGTAGGCGGTCTATCTACTAAAATTTCAATTATTCGCTTAATCGCATAGTTTCCGAAAGTAAAACTCAAGTGCGAGCATATAACGCGAGGTAAATTATAAGTATACGACCGCATCGAGGACAATGGTGGTGTCTAGGACGATGGTCGAGCAGCAGCAGCAGCAGCAGCTTTTATCTTCTTTTCGTTCGCGGTTACGAAGGTTGGTGGCTTTACGATGTCGCCAATAAAAGCTAGTTTATTTTTTCATTCGCTCTTTCAAAGCGACCACGAGAGCACGATTCGATGGCACAGCTTGTCCCTTTGGTTATAAATTTGTATTAAAGCTCGAGATTTTTGACAACGGGAGAAAGTCGTAGCTGAATTTACGTGCATCTGGCAATGATTTAATTCTTTGCGCTATGTCGTCGCTGATGTAACGATACTTTTTCATTTTTTCCTCGTCTCGTTAACTTATAACTCACCTTTGTCCTGACGTTTCGTTCGACCAACAAAGCAAACTAGTAGCAAGTAATTTAATTAAAAAGTTGCTTCGAACGTGTACGTAGCTATATACACACGCGTTTCGTATTTTACATTTTTCAACATGAATATAACCGTAAGATAGCGTCTATGAGATTTCAACGGTGTTTGTTTTTACGACAGTTCTGTAAATATTCGCCGTGAGGCATCATATATATATACAAGTACTCTTGTACATCAAACTCAAGCACTACTATTGCTACTAGCTTTTAAACGAAGCGCCGTATTTCACAACATGTACCATTCTTCTTTTATTTTTTTAACGTCTCGTGCACTTTACCATAGCGTCTATTGTCTACGTAACGAACTGACCATCGTCGTGCCGGTTATGAATCGATTCTCATTTCCCAAATAACCGAAAGCCTTCGGTCGTACACGATAATTACAAACGTATTCGCTACGAATAATGGCAAAAATTTATTTCTATAAATGATAAAACCTTCTCTGTTTTTCCTTGAAAAATACATATGCCTCGTGTAAAATATGCAAATTTTTTTTAACGCGAATATAGTTTCTTCTCGTAATTGCTTTCACGCAGAATACGCATTTTCTAGGATGAGAGGGCAGTTTACGTTTCTCTATCGAAACCACAAATTTTTACGTTACTTTTGCGAAACGTAGATAATAAATAGATTTCTCAACGTTTCCCTAACTTCGATTTATACGTGACGATAAATTCGCGGATTAAGCATCATACCAATATCTACGCCGACTGAGAAGTAAGAATAACACATCGGACAAGAGTCCGTTTGATTTCGAATAGAAGCGAGGAAAGAGACAAAATAGTAGACGCAAAGACGATAGAAAAATAAAGTGGAAAGAAGTATCGAGAAAGGAGAAAGTCCATTTACAGTCGCGCGAGTTCGAATGCCATATGCGAAAGTATTCCGACATCGCGTAAGACCGAAGGAAGGATCTTCGAAGGTGGAAAGACGAAACAGCGGACTATCAACGACGAATCAAAGTTTACGAAAAGAAGGACGAACCAGGGAATTTTACAAAAAGGACGTGTATCGTCGCGAGTGAAACGTTAGCCGAAGAGGTTTTCCAAGGTCGACGAAACTTTGTCAGAATCTTTGATACAATGGCGAGTGGAGTCTCGTTTTCGCGAATCGAGCAAAGGTTAAGGAGAATATTAAAAACTTTGTAAATCGATATCGTTGAACCAGAGGAGACCGACAAGTTTTGCCAATCTTGAGCTAAAGCAGCTTTCTGCTGGGATAGCGATTAACGCTTAAAACGTAAGTTTAAATAGCGTTTTACTCGAGTTGCTAAGACCAAGGATTATAGGGTGCCTTCGGGACGCCTATTATTTCAATAGACCGGGGTTAATCGATACGAAGGCTTATCGAAGCTGGACGCGTCTTGCTCGCTGCTACGGCGTTACGAAGTTTCCAGAAATGACTTCGAATTAGGTGAAATCAAATTTGAAGTTAAGCTAATTAGCTTATATCAAATCGAAGAACGAAGTTGGAAAGAAAAATAAACGACGTAAATTCTCGCGTTATGTTTCGACCATAACTTGATTTTATTCCAATACGTGGGAAATCGAAGCTTCGGCGAACGTCGTGATCGTCGATGTTTCGCGTTGTACGCTTTAATTAATTACATTCGTCTACTATGCGCTTACGTTTCACAACCGAAGGAGGAGAAACAGAGAACAAGAGATGTACGGATAACTTACTTGAGACCGGCGACAATTTCCATGGCTGAGTTAAAGTTTCCGGTATTCCAACAGGTCTGAGCTACTCGTAGGAGACAGGACAATACCGCCTGCCTTTCTTCCAACGTTGCGCCACTTGCGACCGCGTGAGTAACCCATGAGTTTACCTAAAGTTCCAAAATATCGATAATTATGCGAGTTACCGAACGTACTTGATACGATCGTTAACTTTGTTCGTTACGAACGTTTCCTTACACGCCGACTCGCAAAATCACAGGACATCTAGTCTTAATGGGGATTCTACGTTTGACGTAAATTATGAATTCTACGTTTTTACAAAGTTTTCAAGAATCTTCATAATACACTTGATAAACAGATAGAGCAGTAGCGTATATCTATATACATTATGTACAATATCTATGTCGAATATATGTACGTATAACAACGATCTGTCTATTTTCTCATCGCGATACCTAGATAAATGAAACTAAACAAATAATTGGCAAGCGCTTCACGGTTACCGACTTCGATTAACGCGCTGTTGTACGCGAACACTCGGTGGCCATCGAGCAGAGTCGTCGTTCGTGCCGAAAGAAAGCGAATCACTGAGAATCGCAAATAATTAAATTTCTTTCGCTCGAACGTAGCAACGGAACGAAAGGCCACGCGTCCACGTAACCGAAAGCGTAATACGTAACGGGAGAAGGTGAACGCGACGATAGGGAATACGAAGAAGGAGAACAGCTTCGAATGGGAAATCTATGACGCGTAATAACTCGTAATAATTCTATTCCAGCGAACGCGGTCGATACGATCTTGTTTCAACGAACCGGTGTCTTAATCCTATCCTGATAATTCTATTCCTTTCGATTCCCTGTTCTCTCCTGCGTTTTACTCGTTTCCTCTTTCTTTAAACGATCCTGCGCGAATCTTTTCTTCGCTTGGACGTTTCGTTCAGTTTTCCGAAGGATATTTCGAAAAATTACCTCATTAAAACGTTTGATGAGCGTTCGAACGGAAGAAAAGAGGTTGGAAACAGGCCAGTTAGACTCTTCCTCGGTCTGGGTCGAGCTGTTCGTGGTGCTGGGATTGCAGTAGCTGCGACTCGGCGACGGGGGTGGCCTGGCAGGTGATTTCGTGTTCTGATCTTGTGCCACGTGCCTGAGGTACTCTTCCGGTGGTATCTGGTAGAACAGCTGGTATTCGGTCTCCGTCAACCTGAGCGCCACCTCCTCGGGGAAGTGCAGCAGCTTGTGCAGATCCTCCAGCTCCTCAGAGCTCCGAGGCGGCTGCGGCTGCGGCCGCTTCTCCAGCTCTGTTCGAACATCGTATAATACGTTCGCATTAATATTCCTCCGTATAAAATGTTATACAAGCAGATTCGCTTCGAGTTTTTCAAGAAATCGATTTCTTCGATTATCCGCCCTTTGAAACTCACGAGGGACCGACGACATAGGAACAACAACGTTGGAAAAATTCTTTTCTCCCCGTCTTTTCGCTTTCCAATAGCGTAGCAATTAGGGCAATTAAATTTGCATCGTTACGAGGAGGAGCAAGGATGAAAAAGCGAAAATAGTTTGATTACAGGATCGTCGTCGTTATAATTTTCTAACGTTTTGACTTCGTCGAAACGAAACCTTTTCTTTTCGTCGAATTTCTTACGGATTATATCGCTGTACAGCGGTACATCTCGGTGGTAAACGAAGGCCAGGAACGTAACGAATCCGGCACGAGATATACCCTCCTCCCTCTTTGCGACCGAAGGGCGAGAAGGAAATTGCCCGTATGTAAGAAGTTGCCAATTTCTCGAACAACCGATCGATTTTCATTATTATCTTACTAGGTTTCACGTCGATGGCGATATTTACGAAAATACTTTTGCATAAATAACAGCCTCGATCTTAATGTTCGGTCGCCAATGTATGTTATGGTTCCGAGCGTCTTAAACGGAATGGTTGGAATCGCAAAAACAACGAGTATAAATTGTTCGTTCGAAGATTTCTATCGGAGGAAGAGTGGAAAGTATACGTCGCGCAATATTATAAGGCGTTATTTCAAGCATGCCGACAATTTAAAATCTGTCCTAGTTCTGTCAAAAATAATTAAGATTGGCGCGACTCGTTGAGCCAGGCGTGTACCAGCATAATACGTGTACACGAGGGCTCGGAAAACGTGCAAGTGGCATCCATTTGCGGTGACAAGAACGAGCACTTGGATAATTCGACGCATCCGGAGTATGTATTACGAGTCGTCTTGTTATTAAAGTGATTCGTGACGTTATCTATTTATAACGGATTTAAGCGTATCGCGACGGACAACTTAATGTAAAATACGAATAAAGTATAAATTACTCTTTGTTCGCGAATGTCGAGCGAATTAAGTTAAACCGCGCGAATAGCTCCGGTTTTCACTTGCAATTTTAAACTAAAAGATTATAGCGTACTATCTAATTATTTCGTTGCATATCGCAGATACGTAGATACGTATGTGTTGATATTCGTATGAAATAGAGCCGTATCATATTTGAATGCACATATTTAGCTCAAACATTTCAGAAATGGCCATTAATTACATTACGCTAACGAATATATGAATATCTGCACCAAAGATCCGTTCCGCCATAGCGCATTTGTTCAAAGCTACGCGTTCGTAGCATTTGACTATCTAAATATCTGGATGAATATATGTATGTTATGTATTTTAGCTACGTATCGATCGCAGGAAAACGAAATTTCGTGAAACGACACGTTTAGATAAAAGAACACGACGAAGCGTTTTCGAAAAATGAATCTAACGCTTAGAGAATTCAAGCTACTTTGAAGCTACTGTAGGGTAGTGTTTCTTATAAAGGAATTAATTCTAACGGGAGCACGTAACGTCTAACTTTCGCAGATCTATAGTACGTTAAGTCCCGGGCCTTGAAACTTAACGATATCTTAGGTAGTTGAAAACTACCTGTCTTAATCTAGCTTTGGTACGAAGAATTTACACGAAAATCGTATGCCATAAGCCAAAGACGTTAATCAGATGTACGTACGATATACACGTAAACGATTAGGGATGCATTTTCTTCCAAAACACATCCCTTCTGTTCTGATTACCATAAACTACTACACGTAAGTGTACAGCTGTATATCACAAGTATAGCAAGACACGTTTTCCATTCTTTTATCGCGGTTCAGCGAATTTCAATGACGCTCCTTCTACGAATCATGGAATATCATTTATAAAACACATTACCATAAATGGGATGCGAAGTTATGCGATGCAATTGTTACGACGCAAAGGCTACCCAACGTATAATTCCATAATTCGAATAATCGGTACATCGTAATCAGTCGCATTTCGGTCTACGTTGCGAAAGAATTTCATTAAAATTAATTTCCTTCGTATCCCACTCGAATATCTTACTGCTGTAATCAAAATATCGTAAAATTATGAAATAATAAAATAACGAAATCGACCGAACAGGTGCAAGCAAACGTGATTAACGATTTACATCGTGGCGCAACATCGGAATGGAATTGCGAACGATGAAAATTTGTGCCCCGATGGAGCGTTCAAACGTTTCCGAGCGAAACATACAAAAAGACGAAAAAAGAGTAAAAAAAAAAAAAAAAGAAGAGAAAGGAGAAACAAACGTTTTCAAACGAAATCCGCTTGGTTGCGGACGGCATGAAAATTTCATTTCTTTTCGCATCCCTGCGGACCAAAGCATATTGAACGAACAAAATCATAGCGGGTGACGGTGCAAACTTGACCTCGATTAAATTATTATGCTCGAAGGAGACGTCTCTTTGTATAGCAAAATTTATATCTTGCCTGCCGAAGAAGGAAACGCTATATCCTGTACGCGTCGCATTGTCTCACTGCGAAACAGAGACTCGGATAAAAAGAGAGAAACGACGCGAGAAGGAAATATCATAAAGAAACGGACGAAGGAAGCTACGTTGGAAAATTGTCTAAGAAATATGCGTGCGAAAGTGTGTAAAGAGACAGAATTATACGTTGGTTTGGCAGAAGGAGCAGTCGCAACATTTAAAGCGCGATGTAAGACGAGGTATTAGATTTTCAATGTACTATTAGCTCTCGGCTTAATTCTCGGCTAAAACGCACCTGTATCGTTGGAACCGTAAGTATAAAAGAGCAACGTGGAATATATCAGCGTGTTCTTTCGATTTCTTCAAAACTTGACCCGTATCTACCTTTTAGTAGCACTTGTTAACGATTAAGACGTTGCTTAGACAGAAGATGTACCTTGAAGAATTGTTTCGAAACGTGATTATATCTTCGGACCAACCTTATCAGGTAATGATTCGGCCACGTGGGGTGGAGGAAGCGGAAGCGGCTGTACTATTCGTCGTTGACGGTGATGAAAACGGCTCTTCCACCCACGGCCACGGGTGGAATCGCCACTGTTCACCGTTGAAATCAGCCCGACGACCACGATGGGTAATCCCCACGTAGTTTTGCAGCCTGCATCAAGACGGCTCCATTGACCTCTACTTAACAGGATCACTAGGATCAGCTTTCGTCTTTCTCCTATTCTTTTCCGTGTCTTTCTTGTATTTTAAGAACCACCGCGTCCCTTAGTTGGCCTAGAAATCAGAAAGAGAAAATCTCTGGGTAATTTGAACGTACTATCAAACCGCTAAAAGATAGAAGATACTGGTAAGTAAAGACGAGAGGAAGAAAGCGGAGGATGAAGCCGGAGAAACGTACGTTCGAATAAATTTATTCTTAGAAGATACGAGTTAATGTAATTTTCTAGATATATCCGAAAGTAAGACGACAAATAATAGGTTATATAGCTAAAACTCGCCGAAATGTTGTACAGGCGATACGAAGATACGATTGGAAAACGACGATATTCTTATCGCGTAACGGGGCAGAGGCAAATCGTTTCGCATAACTGACGAAATTATAAGGTTACGTAAACTATCGCGCCAATTTTTTCCATCGAATTATTTAAGCGATTTGCCGTTTCTAAATTTCAATTAATATCATATACGATAATCGTGCTAGATATTAGTTAATTAATACACCGATATACCTATTTGATGTTTCTAATGTATTTAAATCGACGTTTCGCACGGTATAACGAGACAAAGCGTTATTGTATGCGCGTTGCGTAGCGCGTACAATATCGTAGCTGCATTACTCCAATAAGTCCAATACGTATCGATATCAATTAAATTATCTTCGCCGTTGTTTCGTCGTTCGTTTATCGACAAGAGGATTCGTTTCTGGTGAAAACTGCGCGCGTGTGATTGTCGCACAAAGGATTCGCTGGTATATTCGGGCAATGCCGAAAGGAACTTTCAGAAAGCGCAGCCACTCGTTGCAGAGATAGCTACGAACTGTCGTCAACGGAATACAGCGGCGAATCCAACGACTCTCGGAGGAACAATGTTAATTTCTGTTTCGTCCTTCTTTCTGGATTAAACGTCAACCGTTACGGCACGAGTACCTTTCCCAGACGCGCGCGTTCTTTCCTCCCATTTTTCTTTCTATTTCTCCACTTAACGCGCGACTTTGAAAAATGTTCGCCAACTACCGCCGACAATTTCGCTTATTCGAAAAATGTTGCGTATCTACCTTGCTACTTTTTAAATATCCTTACACGATATAAAGGTAAAACGGTACGAGTCTAATAAAAAAATGGCAAGTTCCGCTTAAACTTGCAAATCGTTCGAAGTTTCAACGTAATCTCTTTAAAAGTGGTCGTTCGCGGTAGTTTCCTCGACGACGAAATTCGTCGTCTTTGTAATAGTGGCAGAAACGAATCGGCAGTCGAAGAAATCGCGATTACGCGTCTCCATCGAAATTCTCCTTGTTTGTTCGCGTTTTGCTAAGCGGTCGACTGGAAACGCTAAAGACGACCTTGAACGCTACGTAACGACCGTCCGGTTTAACGCGGATCCGCGGTAATTTCACAGAAGCAAAAAAGTGGCAGAAGAGAGGAAAAGAAGATTAGGAATGCAATTTCGCGTGTGCCCATGTCGGTGGTCGGGGATGTGATTTTTATAGGGTCGGAAAGTTACGACTTTCTTAAAGTCAACCGTAAGTACCATCTGCTCTTTTTGAAAAAATTAAGTTTCGCGATTTTATTTACCTTTCATGCTCTTTAAACTTGAAAACCGTGGAATTACATATCCTTTCAGCCGAGAATCGTATTTTCGAATGTAGCGAACATCCTCGTCGTTAAAATTGTTCGTTGAATTATTTAACGCTTTGCTTTAGAAAACGTTAATACTTTGTAGATTTTTCGCAGACTTTTTCACAGTCGCAAGTATCATCGCGCTAATTTCACGTAGCACTTTGCTGTCGAATTTTCGCAGTTCCACGCTTCGATAGATGCAACCGATCTTTGTCGAATTAACAAATCTACACAATGCGCGATCAAAGCAATCGTATTCCGTTTAAAAGGTCCTAGCAAGTGGAAAAAATATTTGCGATTCAAAATCATCGTATGCGTAACAAAGTAGTTGGCAGTTTCGTACGATCGTTACGTCGAAATGGAAGTTAAAGGAAATTACTAAAGAAAATGCGCGACTGCTTTTAATTTGTGATTCTTTATGAGACGACTCTTTCCGAGTTTTATGAAGTTCCTGCTTTCTTTTCTTCCGCGCGTACTATATCTACTCGCGCTTTGATCGCTCGAGCGTTCGTCTTTCGATCGATCCTCGTATAGGCGCTCGTCGACGACCTGTTCGATGCTGTTCGATAAACCAGCTGTGTACTCGAAAATCAAAGATCCGCCTATCTTACACCCGTTTGATTTTACCTTTTTCCTTTACTTCCAGGAAAGGCTTTCCTTTTATTAAACAATAGCGCTCGAGTCGATTATACTTCCACACGACGAAATTAAATGCCGCGTCGCTTTGTGGCGACAAGGACTATGGAACTTTCTAACGGCTCCGCGACACAAAACGCGACACGACGCACTCAATCTGTCATCGGTATCCTCACGCTCCTCCAGCCGAATTTCTCCGAAGGGCATGCAGGCGCCAGCCACGAAGGCACTTGAACAAACGCACGCCAGGGGGGATACCGATGAGCAACGGAAAAGAGTCAGTTCGGTCGAAAAAATAAGCACATTCGACCCCGAACCGCGCGACGAGAAAGACGAAAGAAACGGCCACGTTTTTACCGAGAAATCAACCGAACGACGCTATTGCGTATCGACGTTAACAATCAGCCGATGTTAATTGCAGACTGTCAGTTGTTGTTATTTGTTTAATAAACGTTATTGGTTAAGCATCACCGAGTGTACTTCAGTGCCTATCACACCATTCCACCTCAGCTTAAACATTTCTAAATACGTAGTTCACTCTGGTTATCGATGTTGCTCTGCACCGTGTCGTACCGAACCTGTGCACGTTTTGCCTGTCCGATTCCCACTTGCTTTGGAACGGAGGATTTTGGTCGAAACGACCACCGTTCTATGTTAAAAATATCTTAAGTTATCCGAATTCGGAAACTTTCTACTTGTTAGGAATACCGAATAGTAATGGATGGTACAGCGTATTCTCGTGAGAGCTATATTTATACGAAGCAATAGCAACTAGGTTTACCTTCGAAACGGTGCCGTTGTACAAGGAGGAACAATAGTTTACGAGCGAAGATTTTGTATACGTATAAGCAGCGCGTTGCTCGATTTGTTTCTGATACGATCTCGAAACGCGTACGTACACATAAGCGCTTCCTATAATTGCCTTCTGATTGCTATTAAACGCATTAATTTGCAAGAGCGGATAATTAACGGGAAACCACTTCGAGGGAAATTACTTCTCGTAATTTAATTTATGCTACTTATATCTATTTAAATAAAGGGAGAGGGAAAGGTAATCGAGTATAAATAGCTTCACGTCATTTCTAAAGCAGCGACTATATAACTAAACGACCAGGAGAGAGAAATTAACCAAGTTTAAATACGTTCGTGCGACTTCTAAAGCAACGAGGATTCGTATAATCGAGTATCGAAATTGTTAGAAACTCAAGAAACATCGATCACATGAAAATTACGCAAAATTATTTTCTGTATAGTATTCGTTTCGCGGAAATTGTTCTAGCCGAGAACGCCCGTTCAAATAGTTTACCGATGTGGAGAACGAAGCGAAGACGCGTTCCTCCGTGTCAGTGGCTAGCTGCTGCATCGGTAAAGATTTCTAGGAAGCTCTCGAAGATTTTAAGCAACGTGGGAACAACAAAGTCGGCTCAAAGCTCGTACGAACATCGAACGTTATAGTCACTTTAGAGAATTTTGCTACGGAGCTCTGGTGGCGAGCGAAGTAGATCCGCCACGGATGATTCTGACATCGGTAAACGATAGACGAACAACCAGTTTCGATACCTCGATATCGTGGTTCACGCGGTAAACGCGGAGGCCGGCAAAATGAAAATATCCAAGAATTCGTGTACGATGTAAATTAAGATCGATCTTAGCGAACGTAGGATACAACTGTGCAGCGTATCGCGTGCACGCGAGTCGACACGTGCGAACGAACAGAAAGAAATTTCCGGCTATCCCATTTGAGCTCATTTTGCACGATAGAAGTTTATCTCGTTTGCACCTCGCACGCTGTACGATGTTGCAGCATGTTCTGTTTTTTCGCTGCAGATTTTATGAAAACGGCGAGCGTACTTACGTTCGCGAGAAAACTCCACCAGGGGGTAGAGAACGTTCTGCAACTTTTCAGGTTTATTAGTCTCGAGGGTGGTGCTCGTGTTCTTATTGAAACAAAGTTCCAGCGCCGTTGACTAATCGGGGGATACGTTTCTTTCTTTTGTAACTGCACGGATTTTGAAGATTTTTATCTGGCGATCGCGCGATAAATATCGTACGTTTCGCTGCTGTTTCGGCGTTGATACCACGTTTGCTTCGAAACGTTATCAGGACGTCGCGCGTGCGACACGGATACGTACAGAAAACGCAAGACGCGAAACGTGTACTAACGCTATTGCACGTGAATACGCTATTTACGAGTATTTTAGTAAATGTACGTTTGCAGAGAATAACTTGTCGTTTCTATGCTTTTCCGTCCCAAATTTTATTAACGATGTAATCACACTATGCGGTCCTATCTCATCGTAGCAGTGAAATTTCAAAAAATTTCGCGCCACGTACGTACATAACAGATTTCCGCGAATTTTGTCAATCATCGTGGATACGTGTAAACGTTATTTTTTAATTCCTACCTATAAAATACGGTGCCATCGTTTTACGAGAAAATTACCACATCCTATACGCGTATTACGATTTTACACAGGTGGAAGATTAAAAAATGTTAAAAAGCCTGAAAGATTTTAGATTGGATTCGATAAATTTCGGTACCAACGATTTCAAATACGTCTACTTCGGGTGAGCTCGTGTGTTTTAAATCGACCAAGCCATCCATCCACTTTCCGTGGCTTCGAATCAAATACGATGCGCTTGCAAGCAACTCGTCTTATTAATCCGCAAACTGTCTGGCAAACGAACGAGTCGATTCAATTCGTCGGTCTTTATATCGGCAAATTAAACGGAAGCCGTATACCGGCAGCCGAGTTTTCATTATAACGAGGAAAATAAAATATTGGTCAGATATCGTTTACA